TAATAATAATAATAATAATAATAATAATGATAATAATAATAATGGTAATAATAATAATAACAATAGTAGTAATGATAATAATAATACAAATATAACGTTGTTAACAGACCCCCTCTCTGTACCCACACTTGTAAAAGGAAATGTGATAGCTTGGTGGTACAATATTGTATCAGAGGGCAAGACCAAAGACATTGTATGTCGTTCTGAAGGACCTATCGCATTTTAAAGTAAACTGTTTACAACATATTTTCCGAGATACCTGCAAGTTCCGAGACTGTCTCTTGATAAACAATGTTTGATATGCTCACGACTTTGATTTTTTGACTCCAGCTCTTTATACCTCCTCGGAACCATCACTCTAGGACCGATGCATCTCCTAGCTTGTAAGGCTAATGATATCTACTACAGATTTTGATTAATCAAAACCTTCATGAGTCGGTCAAATGTTTCGTGAATTGCCTAGATACGTCAGGCTATGGAACAAAATTCGGAAGTGGCGCTAACTATGAAGAAAAGAAAAGAACTCCAGGCAAACAGGGTGATAAAAACAAAACAAAAAGCTGTACAACTTTTTTCTGAACATCTCGCACAAAAATTGTCCTAGAATGCTGTAATTTGGAACAGACATAATTCATTCAAAAGGAATTTGTTTGATATAAAATCCACGAAGAAGAAACTTATTTTGAAAACGGAAAAGGCTTAAAGAAAAAAGCACCAAATAGACGCAAAGTTCACCAAATTAAAAAAAATCATGTAAAGGAAGTCGAGAAAAGATTGATTGATATTTTTCTTTATTTTCTCTTTAACATTTTATTTTTCTTCCCAGTAACATTTTGTATTTAATTTCTTTTACAGAGTAAAAAAATAAAACCTGACGATTTCATTCTGAAATTCCTAGTAGCAGTGCACTACGTGCCCTTCTTTGGACTTGAAACATTTTTACGCGTCGTTCGAAATGTTCAATGGCGCCCACACACAAAGACCTGTTAAACCATGAGTGTTTAAAGCCACATACACTGTATATATTCATTATACAGTGGCTTCTAGAGATAATAGGGGTGGGGTGCGCAATAGACAGCATTTTTGGAGTTACCATATCCCGTAGGGTGAAAATTGGATTTGCACTAAACCAAATGTCATCCAGGAAATGATCCCGCTTTTCAAGACAATCAAGGAATCATGAACACATTGCCATGCTCTGATCCATGTAATCTCGGCCTAGCGAAGATGAAAATGGTACAGTCGTAGGTTAGGATCTGCCACGAGAATGCAGACTGTTGAGGTGAAGGAAAATCCTAGCTGCAGATCGTCTACGGACAGACGTCTCACGGGACTCGACTACTGAAATCTGCACCGAGGTGACGTTTAAAGGGCTGTGCTTGGTGCGTGTTCGACCTGAAGTGGTCATTTTTAAGGGAAATTTATAGTTCTGATTTGCTATAGATCCAAACTGATAGAAATTCTCTTCTCTTGACGTCAAAGGACTTTAGGGCACCTTAGCATTTTCTGCAGGCCGTGCGCAGAACCTACGAAATGTCAAGGATGGTGAGTTTATGGAGAGGTAATGTTCAATACAAAAAGCTCTCTACTCTTTACTAAACGTAGCCATGATCTCAGCAGGCAAACGAAATTTGGGAAGAGTAATATCTGCAGACTTCTGTTGACTTGTTAGACTGTTATAGCTTGTCATATGGCCCATTGTTGCAACTTTTAGCGGTAGGCCTAATGCGAACTGGTGCGTCATGCTATGAAAATGGCGACAAGGTTGAAAATGGGTTGTTTTTTAATGAGCCTTATAGAGCAAAACCATTCAATGGACTTATCTAAAAGGAATATCGGATAAATTCCTTTTGGCTTCCAAATGTTATTTTCAAATTTGAAACGCAAACCTTCAGTATGGAGGAAGATATTTACAAAACAAGTTGTACAGTTTTTTTTTATCACCCTGTACTTATGCATCGATTAGTTTTTAGATGTACGTAGAACAGCATTGCTTAGATGCAATTTCCTATCTCATTTCTAATGCTTTTGATCTAAAATTTAGCTTTGTATTTTTCTGAACATAACCGAACTTGTCTCGGGAATCGATCAAAGGTGCGACTCCTCCTCTAAGATCAAAAGATTTCGGACACTTCTTCAACACTAGGGAGACAATTTCTGTTTTCAATTCATTGGGAATGCCATGTCTGAATCAATATCCTATTTAAGACCTGCTTTGAAAAAAAATAGAGACTAAGCAAGGGCATCACGACCTATTCAACATTTTAACAGTTATCAATAAATATATCAACATTGTGAAACGAACAAGTTAGACATCTTGGGTTGGTAGATGTTGATAAAGACACGTTGTGGTGTAAAGTAAACGAGAAAACCACGGAGCATGCTTCCGCGCCTGTGACTGTTACAT